TGATTGTGAGTACTGTACTGTATATCAGGTGTCATTGACTGACTTGATGCATTTGTATCTCTATCTGTATTATTCCGCATTATCTGGTTAGCGGATTATCGAAGCACTTGAATCCTTGAATATATACACAACTAAATACATAGGAGCGGTAGAAATATAAGCTGTTTACAGACTGAATAAAACTGTTAGAGTGAAAATCGAATTTCTGTCAGAAAACGACATCTGAGCCAGCTGTCCTGAGTGTGCGTAAACACATCACTGTCAAATTAAAATAAATCAGGTCTGTCAATTTTGATTTTTATCTCATGTGAAGTGATACAATTCATTCATTCAAACCGTGTATTGTGACATTCGATATTTCCCATTCGATATTTGATAGGTTTTAGAAAATTGAGACGTTTGATTTCAAATGTATCCGTATGGCGATCAAGATATTTCCAATTCTCTCGTAAGCGCATATAACAATTCTCCCCGTTTGTCTAGGGTTTACAGTGTTAAATTTACTCCCCCCTCCCACCCGCTTCGTGTAAGAGCCACTTTCATGTTGAAGCAGTTTCATTAAAATCCTACTGTACACACATTTCACACGTCGCGTGCTGACTGCTACTGAACATGTCGATTCGTGTCAATCCACCATATTGGAAAGCCTGTAGCTCTATGCATTTCTGTTACAATGGCTTTGGATTCCACCCGTGAGAACGAACATTATTTATCAGTGATGGAAGGAAGTCCATGGCTGCATTGACTCATGATAAAAGTAATTTCATTTCACTGTGAACTTGACTTCCACACACACACACACACACACCCGTAAAACATACATGTATCTTTATAGTATTGATGTTGTATATTGATAGACACATTTCACCACACCACACTCGTTATAGTATTGACTGTGCAACGAACGCAACATGAATATAGAGAGAGTATATCACAGAAATTAATCAAATTTTTCATTTTTATTTTAATTTTAGTCCTCAGTGGCGTCTTTCGCGAAATGGCTGATGCGATAAGCGTGAGCTGAAGTTTTTTACTGAAATTGTGTAGAAAGCCTGTTAATGACTGATCACAAACTATTCTCTGGAAAGAAAAGTGTGCTGACTGTAGAAAACCTGTCTCTTTTGTGTGTCCAGATAGACAGTCCCAGTCATCTCTGGAAGATCTCAGCTTAGCAGTGCCAACTACTCATTAGTCGATTTCTTCATACTGATGATGCAATGCTGTAGGCAGGTGGCAGACAATCATTTTTGACAGTTTGACTTGATCGCAACGGACACGAAGACGATGAACAGCTTCATTTGGATGCCTGTTATCGATCACTTGCACTACTTGCACTTGCAATACACGTGTCTCACGGAAGAGAACTGAAAGCGTCTTTAACAATCTGACTAACTTACCACGTATCCATCTTAAATCTCAATGATAAACTAACTCACTGTGATACTAATGAATGTAATCAAATAGTCGGGAGTGGTTGACATTGTCAGTCTTCGCTTTGAGTCAGTCAACTTGAAGTCAACACACAGGAATTATCGTCCTGCTATCGTGAATCACTCTGCAGGTGGAGGCTGGATATAGACAAATCTCCATTTGTGTGCTTTTGAAAAGTGCTTGTAAATTAGGTTGCGCTTAATCGCTTGTTGCATATATGTTAAGTGTCATTCCAAATATTGAGGCGTTTCATCCTGTTTTTTATGAATGTGCAAACTCGTGCTTGGGAGGAAGTGTGCTCCTTTAGTTGGTGTGCATTCGTCAGTCAGTAGTTACGGAGAGACAGCTCACACACTGTGAGGCTATACAATTCCACTCAGTGAATGACACAGACTGAGGTAGAATCAAGTCACACATCTTACTTGATGAATGTGATAGAGTGAGGTGTCGTGTATTTTGTGTGTGCGTGTGTGTGTGTGCTGATGAATCTCAGTGGGAAGGCAGTAGAGGCGTTGGGATAATCATCGAAATTCAAGAAGCACCGACTAACTCTCTCCACTTTGTTTGCATTCTTATTAATCATGCGTACTTTTTCTTTTCTGTGTAGAAGGTAGAAGTAGAAAACAATAGAATACAGTATCCCATGATACAACAACAGTGATGCACTACCGTCTCTGAAATTTTTCAACTATTTCCAACAATTAATTACAGTAATGTATTTTGCCTCTTACAGGCTTTTGTAGATTAGTATTAGTGAAATATAATAATAAAATATTTTTTCATCCCTAAATTAAAAAAATCTTCTTTTTCTCTTTTTCTCAAATATATTTGTGGTATTATTGCTTTCCAAATTGAATTACTTCATCACCTTTACCCACATGTTTGATTGGGAATCAATCACATTGGGTAGAATAGCAAGAGGTGAAAGCATACTAGAACTCAGACCGTTTCACAGTGCATGTCACATGGAACATGAAAGTTATCGATGTGGTGTTCTGTATTCAAGTCAGGGCTATTTGCTGTTCGTTCTGTTTACCAATGCAAAAGGATAAGTAAATAGTTGAAGTGTAAAGCATCTGTTTGTCTAAGACCTACTAGTGTAACACAATACATAATATATATTCGTCCTTTCATTCAAATAACGAGCCGTCGAATTCTGAACGTGATTGCGTGAGCGAATGGCTAAATATCAATTGATGAAAGGCGACGTTCACATGCATGCAAATCTATCATCATTTTTATGCTTAATACATCAAATGAAGTTGTCACTTGGAGAATTTATAAGAGGAAATGTTATTCGAGGGTCTATTAGGAGAGAGAGTTTAAATTTCAAGTTTCAGCATGGTAGTGAAATGTGAAGCTAATTGTCATGTAAAGACTCCGAAACTCACTAGGAAGTTGAACAACGGAGTCATCAGTAGTGAATGTTACAGGAATATCTGGAATCTTCATCCCATCGAATAGGTAGGTATCTCTGATATTTAAATGTGCGTGCAAAATTGTCAGCTGCAAGGAACAAACCAGACACTCTCACTCTGCACGTTCACTTCATTTCATGGGAGATGATCCTTAATAGGCAGTGGATGACAGTGAATGACAAAATGCCCTCGGTCAAAACGTGACTGTAATCAGTTAGAATATAAATCCCAACCGACATTTTACATTGAACCCACATGTCATAAAACAAAAATTTGTGTGAACCTAGCTGCTTGACTCAAAATATGTAAAAACGATATCATTATTATTATTAGGAGTATTATCATTGTTATTTTGCCCAGAATCCATTGTTCTAATTTGTGTCAAGGAATATATATAAGCTTTCACCTTCCCGAAATGATGACCTATTGGTGAAGGAAAAAGAAGAACCGAGCATATACGATGATATTGTTGTATGTTTGTTTGTTCATGGATGAAAATACTTCTCCACTTAGGTGGTAAACAGTCTTCAATTAAGGGAACGAGGGAACGACGGCAGGAGGAGGAGGGAAGGAAGGAAAGAAGGAATTCAAGGGCTGTTGAATATCTACAAATCGACTGAATTATGGAAGCTTCCGAAATAATAGTGTGTAGCTGCTTGAATATATTTTCATCATAGAATTTGGAAATGTGAGTTGTGTGACATTCGATACACAAAGTATTGATAAACTTCACATTAGACAGCAGACACTAACTTCCAAACATCTGTGTGCTAAGATATCTGTGGACACTGGCTGGTGAATATGCAACTGTACTTTTCTGGTGATAATCTGAATGAATGCCCACTAGAGGAAAAGCCAACGTGCAAGTAAATTTTGGAAATTCCGAACTCCACGCTTTCCAGTCAGCTCATTTGCATGTGTGAGTTGAGTTTACCGAATCATTTACACTACAGAGATTGACGAGGATATTACATTTGGTAATGATTGCTACCACTTCAGCTACTGATACAATATGTAGTCACCTCCCGCCCTTTAGATACCATAATTTGTAAAGTATAGACTTGGGAAAGGGTTGAGTCTTTACAAATATTCAGTTCTCGAAATATTGTTTGATCACTCAGAATATGATTGATTCCATGTTAGCAATCACCCTTATGCATGATGACTATACCAGATCCTTTATCTAGTCGAGTTAATATCAGATTTTTTGAGGTAGCGTAATCCATCTTGGTGCTTCTTCATGACTAGGCCGTTTATGTGACGTTTACTGTTTTTAATTAGTCGGAGGACGAGTCACTTTTATTAATTGTAAATCTTTCTAGCTCATACTAGGCAGAAGGGATTGAGATGTGTGTTTGGTAAAATGAGTTAACAAATTGAACGTCTCTCTCTGAATAATTAACCTGACTAAATTGATCATAAGATGTTAGACCAAGAGATTAAGCTTCTAGTTGTGTCTTATGTAAACATGCAGAGGAAGAGTTGAAAAAGTTATGTTCAGGTTGTAGTCTAGTCCTTTAGTTAATAACATCCATTTCTTGTTATCTCGAGTCTTCATTACTTCGCGAACATAATCACTAAATAAATCCTCCGAGTTCTAACGATGTCCCAAAACCGCGGGAGCATTCTAAGAAGTGAAAAATCAATGAGGGATGGAATGTTATCGAGGCATATAGGCCGCAAACATACAGAGCATATGCCCTGGTGGCTTCAGGAGCATATCGAATCCTCTGAACACATTCGTGGTGAAACAAGAGGATCCAGCTATTCCATTGGGGAAACTATTGTAGACATGGTGGGTAAACTGACGTTAACACCTATTTCAAACCAAAAACAATCGAGTGTATTTGGACGTATCCTAAAGTTGATGGAGGCCGCCTTGATAACAGTGTTTGCAGTACCTTTATACTGTTCAGAAATAACTAGTCATCATATTAAACCATGCTTGGTAACCTTTGCTTCGTACGCCAGTACAGATGTGCCATTTTCTACCTCTTTCGGTTTGTACATCATCATTGTCATTTTGATCTTGAACAAAGCCTTTAAACTTGACTTCTGTCCATTCTGTCACTTTCGTGTAAGAATATTTGATGATGATTCACATGGCGATTCACATAGGCTGATAATGATGAAAAGCCTGTTACACTGAAAATGAGAAACAAAACAAAAAGAGATATTAGAATACAATTTCGGTTACATACTACTACTACTACTACTACTACTACTGCCACTACTACTACTACTACTACTACTACTACTACCACTACTACTACTACTACTACTACTACTACTACTACTACTACTACCACTACTACTGCTACTACTACTACTACTACTACTACTACTATAGATGATAACACATAATGTGCTTGTCATGAATGAATGAATGAATGAATGAACGAAATGTAACGAAGAATTTAGATTGTATTAAGCTAAAAATTAAAATGAACCAAACTGGGGTTGGCCGGGGGGGGTTGGACTGAAAACTGAAATATCACACAGAGGTGAAATAGGATACTTGTCATAATTAATAGTAATAGGTAAAATGTTATATATGTGCAAACCAAGTTGACTTTGAACAGTTTGAAAAAATTGGGCATTGGGTATATGCTATTCATTATAATAAAGATTTTTGTATTTCCAAATGAATGAAAAAAAACGGCATCGTTTTGTTTCATTTGCAGACCACCACCACCACCACTACCGTCATATATCAGGTCACATATATGCAAGCCTAACTAACTAACTAAGTAATACCAACGAAACAAAGGGGGGGGAAACGTGTTTGTGTGTATTGGGGGGGGGGGGAGAATACGCATACAACTTACAATGTAATCAGCTCCACAGAAGCATGTGAAATAATGATAATGTTAATTAATCACTTTATTGCAAACAACAACAACAGCAATAATAGTTATACAGAATACAATTTTGAGCGTCTTTTCTTCACATATTGCAACAATTTGGCTCCTTTTGTAATTTTGTACTTACATAAAAATAATTTAAAATAGTGATGATGATAATAATATTAGTAATGAAACCACCACTATAAACAGGGTGTTGGTGGGAACATAATGAAATAAATCGAAGTAGATAATATCGTAGATAATACACACGTAATATTGACGTTTACTCACCCACCATCTGTGGTTCATTTAGATTGCAAAAGTGTATAAGTTCTTTTTTGACTCTTTAACTCTTCAATCTTTGAATTCGAATCAGACATACTCCATCCAAGTCGAGAGTAGAGAAAATTTACCACTGCTCCATGTCGCCTATGCTTTATGATTAATTTCAAGTGGCAATATATTAGCGAGTAATCATATTGTACTACTTGCAATTGCAAAAATCAATTACTTATATAAAAAATACAGTGACTGAGCTGAGAAATGTAACACTGTCGCGCTCTCTACTGAACAACAACAACAACAATGTCTTATGCCAAGTTTTAGTCTAAAGATAAATTAATCACTAACTTTTAAGTCGCTGCGAAATTCTCTTGGCCCAGAACAATAAATACAGGTGACCAGTACGCAAACGTTATGATGATATAATGACCTAAAGTTATTCTAAAATATATATAGATATATATAGATATAAATGTAGCACTGAAGCCTTCTCGTTTTACTTAGTAGCTAAGGTAGCTAGCTATAATCGACAGCCAACGTCTCCTTGCTGCAGGATGTAACCTGAATTTTCTAAATCAGTGGTAATGCCATTTCAAGGACGTTTCAAAGATGATGAATAGCATTTTAAATATTCTCTATGAACATTCTCCATGAACACTTATCAATAGAAGTTGTAATAAGCATCTTAAAAGCTAAAAAATTTATTTACATATTTTGTTTTGCTTAAGTGATTGTTATCAGTATCTACCAAGCAAGATATTTGAGAGCAAATCTACATTAATTAATTCTAGTTTTGACAGCTTTAGATAGTGTGTGTAAGAAAAAGCACGCCTGACATTCATATGAAAACTCCAATCAAAAGTTAGTTATTTTAATCCTACCTAACACTCAGTTCTTTGTGTATAAGGTACGAAAAGAGATTTCTCGGAAAGCTGAGGGTATTCGGAGAATAAAAAGTGTGGATGATTAGTTGTAGAGTAAGTAGTTGCATATACTTTGCAAATACTTCTGGTCTGGTGAGGTGTTGTTATTAAAGTCTTCTGCTGAAGTATATTTATTTATTTAAATTCATAGAGCTACTTGATGTTGTTTGTATGAGTTGCTGCAGACATTGAAAATGTAAAAAGAATTTGTATTGTGATGTGACTTGTTGCAAGGACTTCACTGACAACAGAACAGGTGTATGCACACCTGGTAAAAGTGCTATCATCAGAAATGAGCGTGAAATCATCCGTTGTGTTCAGAACTCTGTGTGAATGAAACATTTACTCCATCCAGTTGTAAAATATTGAATATAAGTAGCTCGCTCCTCCTCTAATAGATCAAAATAATACTTTCCTCCACTTTCTATTCTCCATATCCATCATCCATCACTCAGTCGTCGAGAGAGAATTATCTGGAAGACATTCTTCGACCAGTAAGCAAGAAGAAGAAGAAGCTTAGGACATAAATGGTTTATTATTCTGAAAAATTAGTCAAGTCATTGTGTCTGTCATTGGGTTCCTTCCATACAGACAGCAGAAACGAATATAACTAAGAGGCAATGTGAACAGCATTCAATGAAAAAGAAGAAGAAGGAAGTATTGTAAGTAAGTGTAGAACTTAGGCCCTGTGGAAGAAGAATGTAATTCCACACTAGATAAGTTTATTTCAAATATCAAACAGTAAACAAATGCAGTATTACCAACTGTATGACGACGTGTCGTGTATAAATTATTGCTCACAATCATGTCAGATTGCTCACGTTTTCACAATTTGTCTTATGTATATATATATATATATTTCCTGTTCGTTTTCTAAGTCAGAGGTGAACTGCATTCCGTCTGCTGAATGTGACATCCACCATAACCTACAAATCAATCTAACAAACTGGTATACAATTTGCAGTGTAGTTATCAAACAAGCCAGTCAGTTCGAAGTTTCCCTCTTATAGATAACAATTTCATCAACTCACTTCTTGTGGGAACCAACAAAATTCACCACTAACTACACTAATGCAGCGGCATGTATATAATCCCACTGAAGAAAGCCACAGTAAACGTCAACCATTTCTAGTTTGAATAACTTCGGATGTCGTGAGAATAAAGTGCCAAAGCAGTGTGGAACTGAGTATTGTTCGTGTAGTGAGAACAGCTGTATGTAAGTGGAACTAGAAAGCATGAATGAGAGACCAATAATACAGATATTGGCTTGTGTTTAGCCTGAGACATAGGGGTCAAACAGAATATCTTCACTTTTTCCCCTTCTATATGGTCCGCCTCTTCCGACCTTCTTCTGCTCACAAGACCTCCCTGTCACTTTCAGAGTGACGCGTGACTTGTCATCTTCCAGTTTGAGGCCCACATGAGATGGTCTGTCGCAAGATGTCACTCAACTGCATCCAGTATATTTCTTGAGCAGTAGGTTGGTTCTTAATCAGTTCTTTCTCAGAATGGTCTGTTGTTGCCTCCGACTGTTGCCTGGTCAACGTTTATTCAGTTTGAAGTGAATTCAGGCTCTTATGAAAGATCGAAGACTATTTGAAATGCGTTTGGTGACATGAATCGAAGCACTGACTGCCTTGACATTAGTGTTGTGAATCCTATTCCTGTTTTCTCTGAATGGCGCAGATTTCCAAACTGATTTTGGAGTTAGGAATACCTCGCTGTTCTGCTCCTGACTAACTTTCACACTTTCATCCGTGCTGTTGCTGAAGGGAGGATGACTGCATACGTGGAAGAAGTGACCTCCTTCCAATTTCTTGTGTTGATGGCGATTGGTGTTTGTTGTCATCGGCCGGATGTATTCATCACATCTGTCATCTCTCTGTCCACCTGAAGTATTGTATTATCTGCCTGACTCTTCTGAGAGTTTGTTGCTTTTCCCCAATTCTATTAATTCAATTACGTTTATTTGCTCATGTTGGAATGTATGGCGCTATCAAAATCAATAAAACACAATACTATTTTAGACTAATGCTTGGCATAAATAACGAACGCATCGACTTATGAATTATCATCACTATTACACCGCATTATTAAGTGGTCAGATCACGAACTAACTAATCCCTACATCATCAAACACACACTACAGGAAATTAAACAGATAGTGTTGGGAAGAACTGTTTTAATTGCGATATATCCAGTTTTATCACCAGTGCACCGATCAACAAACATCTTGAGACAGTTTGTAACGCACTGGGCCTCGACCGTGAATTTCGAAAAGTGATCAAGCTCTCGGTTGATAAAATGATATTAGGTGTTCAGGTATTTCTAACCTTCATTGTGAAATATATAAAGAAACGAATGGGGCTGCGATGAGATCATGAAAATCCGGAATCGATTCAGACATATTTATGGGTGGTTGACAGCATTACCAATTAAGACATTGATTCCTACTTCTTGATTATCCTGGAGATATCGGGATCACGTTCTCACTTGTTCTTAAGTCGATCAGAAACTGCGAGACTACGAAATGCGTCCTCTCTCCCACTCCAAATGATTCGCATGAAAAATCGACTTCCTCTTTTACGTCACCGAACAGATTTCCAACATTTTTAACAATTACACATCAACCCAGAAAGATCCCAATGAATTGCAAATAGCCACCCCATCTACTTGTTGGATATGCTCATTTTCAAGTGTGAAATAGTTACTTCCAGCGCTTAACAATAATAATGATCATAACAATAATGGTAAATCTTTTGAATATCTTAGAGCGATTTGAGGAGAAAGAAGAGGAGAGGACTTGAAGTAATGCAAATACAGAGCATATGAACAAACTTGACATATTGTGTCAACTAGTTATCAGAAAGTTGGAAGCGAACTGGAAGAACACTTTTTCAACTTATATATTCATCTGCTCAATGTGGCAGCCAACAATTTCGAAAGCGTCTTTCACAGAGAAATTACACACTATATGCTGCATATTCAGTTTCAAATATTAGCTGATTCTTTTGACAGATTACATGTATGGGAGCATGATATTTTGATAGAATTGGACGTGATCTACAACATTCACAGGGTTACTGCTAATAAAATTCTCAGCAGTAAACATTTTCGTCGTTCACGTTCTCTGAGATGCGGACAGTGTTGAGCACGAAACATGCAGACTACACTGATTTAAGGGCAAAATGAAACACTCCATGATTGCTTGTCATGTTACTTGTCATGCATGCTGACACAGACAGTTTCAATTAACTTGCTCACAGTTTTACCGACTACCGACTACCATGTTGATCATTAGTTAACTCATTCA